TCCAAAGCGGTAACCTTCCCAGCATCGTCCGTCAATTGCCAGAATATATCCCAATACGCCGACAATGTCAAACAGCACGATTTTCGGCAACAATGAAAAAACTAATTTCCAACAATGCGACCCACTGTTCCCACAACAGTGACCTCTTCCTCCACATCCGTTATATTGTCAGATATTCTCCCAATATCCGGACAATATCCACGGTTTCGGCACCATTCTTAAAACCCTGCAGCACTACGTCTACCTCGTACAACGTACACCACAGGGAAAAAGCTTAACTTTTATTTCATGACAGCTGCACTCCCGACAACTGTGCCGTCTCCACACAGCTGCATCAACTTATATACCACATCAATATGCATGCTCGCACAACACGCTCATATCGCATACAGCCACAAAAGCTATAAAAACACACGCACCAATCTGACCACTCCACATCCGCTCCTGCAGGCCAGATTAGTCCTGCCTTCCTCTCATTCACACTTGACCATCGGTCACAAACACTCATGCATATAAATGCATAACACCATAAAGACATAAATGTCCCGCACAAATATGATCATAAACCATACAGCTCAGAATCGGCACCAACAAGACCATAAAGATACATACAGCCATACAATCCACGCTATCCAGTGTCCACGGTCGTAATCCACGATCGTAACACGCGCAATCTGGGAAATGACTCGTCGGGAAGTTATAAGTCACAATGCTGAGGCCGAACTGGGAAAGTACCCGTTTACTTTGGGCGTGAACCAGTTTGCCGATATGGTAAACCTTTCGTAAGACCAAATGCAAAATTTTGACTTCAGATGTAAACATAGTACGTGCATACAGTTAAGCAACTTCCGCTTGACCACCTTTGGCCGCGTGCTACGCTAAGGAGACTAAATTTTTTTTAAATTTAAGCTATAGCGTACGAGTCAAAACGACTGCGCGTTTCAACTGCGAAATAACTTATTTTCGCAGTTAAACATGCTTTGTGCAAGACCCTACCACTAAAAATGTTCTTTTGCTAAATAATTTTTGCTTTGAAAAGTTGTGTTGTGAATTTCGCTATGATTCATATTTCCTTTTTGATTCATATTTCCAGCATAGTCACGAAGTCCCAAGAGGATACATCCCGGAGAAGCGGAGACTACACCGGAAGTTCAGGTAAGCAAAGTCGCAGTTTTTGATTTGAGTTGACATCTATCGAGGATTCATGGTGCCCGGGCGATCCAGGCGAGGTTGGGCAAAGTTGCGTTCTTTATTTAAGCTGATTTCTATCAGCGTGCCCGGGCGATGGAGCCTATCGTGTTCTGTTGGCCGCTCGCAGGACCGTAGCGATGTCAGAGCGATGGGGATGCGCAGTTCGTTGCTTTTACGGCTGCAGTGCACAGCTAGCAACCGGCGCTGTTATTAACAAACTTTAAAAATACAGTTACTGTACGAACTTCCGGTTATTTGTGGAGTCTGGACGTAGAGGTCCAGGAAGTCCTGGTATTAGTTTTTTTATGTTTTTTTTTCGCAGGAATAAACCGGCCAATCCGTGTCCACAACGTGAGCGCTGAACCTACCGTGATCTGGGATCCACGAATCCTGGAGACCTTGAAAAAAATTTATTTAGTTTTGGTTTGACATGGTAACACTCGCTCTGGACATTGCAAATCAATGAGCAACTTGGAGCTGACTGAATTGTCCTGTGCATGCGATGTTGCTGTACTAAACAATTCACCTTTATTTCCTTTTAACTAGCAATGTATAAGCATGGCTTATTTTCGGTGACGTTCTCCATTTAGGCGGATAACTTTTGATCCGAATTGTCACACTACATAACTTTTACTTGGCAGCCGCTACAACTACGACGGTAAGAGGTAAGAACATGTAAACATCCAGTGTACGTGCATAGAACATGGCGCGCCGGCGACGAATAACCAGATTAATAATACGTGCGGTCTGACTCTCTACGATCTGGCGATCTCTCTAACGTGAAACTTCCAAACAGATCTGTGATCTGACACCGCGGTCAGATCGGCGTAGTGCGGTACATTGCCACACTTCGGTATTATTTGGCATTTCTGAGCTTTCTACATGTATATCCAGATTTTTTAGTTTTAAGCTTTTATTTATTGTTTTAAGCTTTTATTGTCATTTTTTATTCTTATGGGTTTTATTTACGTAATTGATGATTGTAAGCAGTTGTCTGCACGTACCATACGAGTACTCGTACCATTTCATTGTATGCCTATTATAAGCAGACCATGTAGATAGATACAAAAGTACTGTACTTACGGTAGCCTGCACGGTAGCCTTGTCGCACATCGCGGCAACATCGAAGCAAGCGGGAGCAGCCGCGGCGCGCGCAGAGCAGAATAAAGTGACGAAGTATCGGGAACTCACCCGAGATTACTTGTTCCGTGCAGTAGGCGTCGAAACACTCGATCGGACCGGACGCCTCTCGTTTGGTCACCGAAGTCGGGAAGATGATACAACAGGAAACAGGCGAGGTACGGGCGACGGAGTGTCTGCGCCAGCGGATCTGTTTGGGCACATTGCGGATTATCATCAGGCTGATTTTGTGGTTATTTGCCCTTGTTTTCCAATTCCAACGTTGTCCACTGTCCGGAACGGAACGTGAGTACATACACCGCCCTTTCCCTGCTAATTATGTGTCAGGTTGTCGCAACAATGTCCACCAATGAAACGACCCAACCGTACCCACACACCCACCTACACGTTCAGACAATTAACACGACTACACGTACAATATCAAGCACGGGAACCGTGCAGTTGCTGTATCCAAGAGCGCTGGCGGCGGAACTGGACACATTACACCTTGCCGGACCAGCACGGACGTTGGAGCTGTTCCATCGACTCGCGAAAGACCACATGGTGGCATGGTCCATGGCCAGTGCCATCCTCTCAAACCGGCCATGGTTACGCCGGTTTAAGACAATGGTACTGGCGCTGAGCTGGGATGACGATTGCCGAAAAAAGCAAGCATCCATTCTACATGCGTCAGCAGCCGCCATATGTTGTGATGTTGAAATGTTTAGTTTGTGCTGTTCAGCTGTTGTGATGAGCAGGCGCTTTATTTTTTGTTGATGCGTAATAGATATGCGAAATAGCTGAAGTGCACAACACTGTTTATAATGCATACTACTACTAGTAGAAGGCAGACTTATTAAAACTTTTGTTCCTCTTCGTGCATTTGGCGCGACTGCATGGTGATCGTCGTACATTGTTCGTACGCAGTTTTTAACTACTGAAGTACTTGAAGTATGTAAGTATAATGAGCCATAGACACGTATATAATCGCCTGATAGATCGCCATGCGGTGACCCACAGCACCAAAACCGGCAAGTGACCTTTCCGAACAACAAATCTGAAGTTAAATTGTGCTTTATTTAGCTGGTATACCGGTAATCTGCCGACTGTATACGCCACAGTTATTCAACATGGGATTGAAGGGACGGCCCTTCCCGGTGCGCACGTATTAAAAACATTCAACGGAAACCTTTCAGCTCGTAGCCAGCCGAGCAGCCGCCAGCCATACCTTGTATAATACAATGTAAAAGTTATTGTATTGTATTGTGCATTATTTGAATTAAACGAATAGCGGATTTACTTGTTTCATACGCCACATGTATGATGTATCCAATACCATGAATATGCAATGCTTGTGTTGCTTATAATATTGCGTACGTTGCTTTACAACTGGACCGGGAAGCTAACTTTATTTTTCGAACCTTACTACAAATTATTAGGCAAATTAGGAAACGTACTATGTTTCCTCAAGCAGCGTTTTAGTTTAGCTGTCGTTAAAGGAAATGCCACGGCTATTTTGAGCACATTGCCTTTTGACCCGAGAGAGGATAAGAATTTTGGTTGTTTTTTTAATGTTTGCATTTAACCATCAGTTTAGTGTCCCAGTGCTTGCAGTTATTGTTATTTGGTGGCCATTGCCAATAAAGATTTTCATATGTTTTGGAGAATGGGGATTAGCACTTGTTTTATCGCATAATATTTTTCCTTTTAAAAGTATCTTTATCCATAATTTGCGTATATCTACTGGAGCATAGTTACGAGTACAAATTCAAAGCCGGTACAGAATGCTGAAGCTTGTTCCCCAGATTATTTGCGGACCGTTGTGGAACATTAATTAAAATTGTGCGCTTTTGCTGGCATTTGGCTAGCAATGATTTAGCGAAAATGAAGCTGATCGCATTGGGATTTGAGCTGCTACGTACTCAAACAAAAATCTTAATTTGCTTTACAATAATAAATCCATCTGAACGAGGTTTCCAACAGATAAAAGTCTTGCCGCTAATTGTGGAGACAACTAAGACAAATTAATAATAGCTGTAATAAATATTTTTCGTTTTTGTTTTAAGTATGTACGAGTGAACTGAATACCTTGACCGTTAATTATTTATTCTCTATAGTTTAAAAAAAAACAAAAAAAAAACGCAAGGAGCTAAAAATTAAACGGGCTTACAACAGTCACGACAAAGAAAACCACGCTTGGAAATGAAACTTTTGTGATGCGAAAATGAAAACTAATCCAGCACTTCGATGTATAATAAGTAGCGTACCGCAACAGTGCGTACGTACAGAATACGAATGTAAAAGTCCAGTACAATTAAGCATTCACTTTCAATGCAATATTCCAGCAATTACTGCTATGCAAAGTAAGCGCACGGTTTTTCATTGATTTACACAGCTGTTCTTGCCGGCGTGCTTTAGACTAGGCACTGCTCTAATCGTTTATCCACCTCAAGGTTGATCCAAGGTTATACTGGCTGTATATTCCGCCTGCTATTCAAATCAGTCCAGGCACAGGGTACGATTCCGGCAAGTTTCCAGTTTCCAGTTGCCAGTGAGTCACTCATGGTCAGGAATGCAGTAAAAAAAAATCGATGGCAGCGCTTTCTGATAACTCAGCGGCCTGGTACGCTGGAGAAATTTTGCCGCCCAGGCCATGATTGCTTGTTTTGCTTCTACCAGGCAGAATAAGATCTGTGCTATATATGCAGCGCCAGCTTCCGATGGATCCTTTGCTGCTCTGATCATTTTCTCGCAAAACCTTTTGATATCGCCTGTCCCCACCATATTTACACTTCAGTGTTCGTTTCCGCGCATTTTGCCTGTTTTTCCGACTTAACAATGTTCGACTCAAAAGCGCAGTTCACCGCGGTCAATTTCCTGGGATCGAAAGGCATGATGGTCTTGGGGATTATAGTTATGGTTGCTGCTTTTATAAATTCCGTGATCACCATTGTCGCTAGCCGTAAGTAGGAAAATAATTTTATTGTGCACAAGTTGAGACATTCCGCTCCTGCATGGAAAAATTAAATCAGCGCTAACCTTACCAAACTCTATAATTATCAAACCTGACTTATAGGCGTCTACGAATATTTATTTCAGACACGCTACATCGTGTTTCTTTAAATTTTACGATGTTGTTGTAAACGTATATTTTATGCCAACTGGTACGTTCTTTAACCGTGATTTGGGAGTCAGTTGACAACTGACTTACATTAATTTTTACACTGCAAACATTTTATGCAACTTATACGGTACGTTAGTAACGCAACCTCGCTCGCTTTTATACTTTTTTCGCTACATTTATTGCTGTGACCTTTAACATATCCCAGTGAACATTAACACTGAAGAAGAAAACCGCAGGGGTTATTGCCTCTATTACACAAGTGATACATACAGCAACTGTCTCGTAGTAGATGTGAATCATGTCATTGATTCAGACTAATTCGTAGCGCTAATTTTTTATTTATCATTTTTAGTTATTATTTATCAATCCATTTTTGGCATTCCCTCTGTACATTGCACCGTAATAATTTGTCTACGGATAATTTGAAATTTTAGGAAATGGCCCACCTGAATTAATCTATCCACGCACACCTGTAAACCCGTCTCTCGCCTCTTTTCTGTTCGTTATGACGGTCAGTTTCCACTCCGAACAAGGCGGATTCTTCGCGCGCCAATGCACCAAGCACATGACCTCCAAGCATATGTGGCTCATGCGCGGTATGTTCGGCTTGCTGGCTACGCTCTCCTTGGTGCTGCTGTTACGCACGTTCGATTATGCCCTGATTAGTCCACGTGAGCCTAATTACTTCCAAGAAATACAAGCGCTCGACGACAAAGAGCAAGCAATAATGGATAAGTTTAAAAAACAAATCAAGGACAACAATCCAGCGAGAGGTTTTGGAAAAGATGCCGCAGCGCATGGGCGCCATGGGTGTTAACCACAATGACACCGCTGCACTGCTTAAAAGCAAGTATTACGAGCGGGCGGTGGCGCAGTATCTCGGAAACTGGACGCATGAAATCGACGCCATAATGGAAGACATCAGCAACCCCGCTAAAGCGCTGACCAGTAAATATAATGACACGCTGGCGGACGCGATACTGAAGGCCTGTCCGGAGTCCATGCACAGCGTGGTTCTGGCTTTTTACGGACTGACTGCATCTATTTTCCTCTTCGAGTCGGTCTTTGCCGGACTGTTCTGGAGGCGTTTGGCCCCATATGGTGCGGAGTATGAAAACATCGCAGATACTCCTAACTGCCACTGTTACGGCGGAAAACGTGGCTTTTGGGATGATCTAGAATTCACGAGATTGGCTCCAGCTGGTGGAATTTGCATCGAATGCTCCTCGCGGGGTTGGCGTTCGTACATTATTTTCTTGAACGTATTCAATGCCCTTATGGCGGGGGGCATGATGTTGGCCATTTACTCTTTGGTCATGTAAATAGCCGGTATTGTGCTGATATTAGAGCGGTTAATGCTTTATTATTAGGGAACTCCAAATGTGTTTAAATCTTGAGTCCGATGCCTTTGTTGTAGCTTCCCACTTTGCTTTTTTTGCCTCGCCAGTGAACTATTTTTGCAAATTCTGTTGCAGCTACTGTTAATTCTCTGTTCATTCTGTGTACATCTCTCTGTACAGAATGTTGACGTTGTACAGTGTACTAATTACTACTAGTATTACTAATGATTCGCGGTAACTACGTTCGTATTGCTTATTATAAATTGTGGCAGTTTAATACGTAACAGTAAACTACATGTATTTTGCCTGCACTTTTGAATACGCTGATACAACTTGCTGTCTTTATTGCCAAGTCTGTATCTGTACATGCTGGCATGCAAAAGCAGCGCTGCGACGCTGCCGAAAAATGCGCGCTGTTCTCATCTTTTGGACTTTTGGGACGATTAAAATCATTGCCATCAGTTTGTTGTTGCGAGTAATTTACCTAGTATGATGGCGGGCCTATGCCCTATACCTATGGTCATCTCCGTAATAGAGAAGCCACTTGCAATAACAGAACTGGCATTAAATAGTAAGTACTTCTACGCTACTTACAGCTTATAGTGGCCGTTTAAAGTCAAGTTACCGTTAAAAATTTCTGAAAATCGTTTTTACCAATTACCGTTAAAACCTTTCCTACAAATTGTGGAACTCAGCGTATCCAAGATCAAAGACGATGCGATGGCAATATCGACAAATGATATAAAGGTCACCAAAACAGATGTGATTGCGTTTATCAGAATGAAGGACACAACGGATTGCAGGCTGAATTTGCTGGACGATTAGGTTGTTCTTGCGTGACAAAAAATAACTGAAACCAAGTCACAAACTGAAACAATGTAACTGATTTCTGATAAAAGAGAAGCCCGGGGAATGTATTGCTTCAAACGGCTTCAACAGACACATGTACAGAGTACAGTAATTTTATGCTGCCTCTGCAGTATTTTGTCAAAATTATGTTAAAGACATAAGAATACTGTGAAAAAGAAAGATAATAATAAATACACTATTATTTGAATTTGGAAATAGCGCACCGGTACTATTCGAATACGAATAACAGTACATACAATATTTCTTCCGCTTTAGTCTCTGCAACTTTATAATTATTTCATTCCCTTCTAGATGGTTGTGGTCTGCTATGCCTTTGAAATGCGACAGTATCAGATATCCCCGTCTGCTTCCTGTTTATCACGCGAAAAAAGTTGATTTATCGACTGCAATTTTCGCCGCGCGCATTCTAATAATTTAGGAAAGGAAATAAGAAATAGTACAGTACGTTAGGAAGCTGCCTTGTACCTGTCGGTGATAAATGCACGTTAAGTCATGTCTATCATTTGTCTCAAACAGCAGCAACAACTTTCGTGGAAGTGACGGAACATACAAATGTATATCTAACAAACTGCAGGTAATCATTAAGTACTTAACGACATTGGAGTCGTATTAAAGTCTATAGCTGTCGTGTTCGTTTCTGTCTTAGCAACTAGTACTGTTTTACTTCATAAGTCTTCCTGTTATATTCCTGTCATTCTACCTGCTGCGCAGTTGCTGTTCACATCATTAATTATGTAGTATTAATTAACTATTAAAGTATTACTTATACAATACTTCACAATAGCGTTTCTGGACCGTTTTTGTCGCTTTAGTACAAAGTTGTGCCAAATTAGCGGAAGCACAACGGGAAACGGAATCACTGAGTGAACGCTTCAACTGATGACCTGGAGCTACTGCGATAAATTGTCGTAAAAACCGATATATTGTGCACTCTTTCAAAAGAAGCAATAGGTGGATTTACTTGTTTCACAAGATAAAACGATGGAAGGTTGCACAAGGCAAAAGGTAGATCCTAATTACCTAATTACGTCCAAAAAACACAAGCGATCATGGACAATCTGCAAGGGATAAGGGATATGACTCAAAATCTACAACCAATAATCAAAAAGGCTCAAGAAAACATGGTCACATTCGGGGGATTTTTGGAAGAGTTGCAGCAGTGTTGTACATCAGCACCATACCTCCTCACACGCTCACAGCAATGACACCGTTGTATCGCTTAAGAGCAACTATTACGAGCGGACGATGGCGGAGTATCTCGGAAACTTGACACAGGACATCGACGCCATGGTGGAATGCAGCAGCTACACCGATACCGCTTTGACCACCAATGTAACAACCCGTTGGAGGATGCCGTGCTGAAGGCATGCCTGTTATCCGTGCACAACCTCATTCTGGCTTTCTACGTGCTGACTGCATCCGTTTTCCTCTTCGAGTCCGTTTTTGCCGGACTGTTCTGGACGCGCTTGGCTCCCTATGGTGTGGAGTATGAGACAATGGCACCCACTCCTATAATTGCCACCGTAACGGCAAAGAATATGCCTTTTGGGATAAGCTGGAGTTCACGAAATTGGCTCCGGCTGGTGGAAGATGTACTAAGTGCTCTGCGCCGCGGGATTGGCGATCGTATAATATTTTCGTAGGCATGTTCAACGCCGGTATGGTGGTAGGCATGATGGCGGCCATTTCCTTTCTGCTCCTGTAAACAGCCGGTATGCTGCTAATGTCATTAATATTAGGGAATTATGTGTTTGACTCAGCCCCGATGCCTTGCACATGTGATTTTGTTGCCGCGTCATGAGCTATTTTTGCAAATCTTTTTGCAGCTGATAAAGTTGGTTCCATTTTAATGTCTCTCTGTACAGAGCTTTGTGACGTTGTGCGCTACAACGAAGTTATGAACCACCCCCGGGGAAAAGCTACATGTCTTCGGTTCTGCCGCGTTCAATTCTGATCGCACCCGCCGCCGCCCGTGGCAATAGTCTTTTCTGCATTGTGATATTAGGGCTACCACCCATTTCGCCAACGGGACATTTCGCCAACCAGACAGCAGCAGTTCAATTTGATAACACATAACACGGCAGTTCGAATCCAAATTATCCCCAAGTGACACCAACGGTTCGAAAAGTTTAAAAAGGAGCAAATAAAAACCTATAAACAGAACCAAAGAAACCTGAAAATCTAAGAACCTAAAAAAAATTAAGAAACCTAAGAAACCTAAGAAAACCTAAGAAACCTAAGAAAACCTAAGAAAACCTAAGAAACCTTAAGAGGACTAAGAAAAGTAAAAAAATCTAAGAAACCTAAGAACCTAAGAAAACCAAAGAAAGTACCAAAAACTACGGTTGTCGAAATGTCCCGTTGGCGACATGTCCGGTTGGCGAAATGTCCGGTTGGCGAAATGGGATGATACCGATATTAGTACTAGTAATTTGTGAGAGCTCTTCGTTTTGTTTGTCAGTAACTTAGTTCTTTGTATTTATAAATTTTATGTTCCATCGTTTTTACTTCGGGAGAAAGGGATAAATTCTTATTTTTTGCAGAAATCGGCAGCGGCGATAAGGCTGCTGAGCTCGAATACATCGTTCTTATGCTATTCCTCTCCAGAGTTTGACTTATCCGAAGTTGTAAGTTTAATCGTACTGATTCCCCAGGGCACCTACGCACGCTGTGACGCTGCCACTATGGCGCAGAAATCCACATCCTTTGAGAGTTCTAAACGTCGAGGCAAGGTCTCCCAGGTCGTAAATCGTTGGAAGAATGCCTTAGAGAAAAATGACTTGTGCGATGTGAAATTCGCAGTTGGACGCCTGTGTGGCGAAGTGGAAATTATCTACGCACATAAGTAAGTTCTAGGGCAGATTGTAGCATCTCTCCTCCGCTGTCAGTTAGCCAGGATTCTGATGGCATAGTCAGGAATGGCGTAACGCCACTGGTTTTCGGCTAGGTTGGCTTTAAGTCTGAGCAGCGATGTGTTCCATAACATGTTAAACGGGAGCGTGGTCAAGCGTGCTGGTACTGCCATCGACATCCCAGACATCCCGCCCGACGCTTTCCATAACATGCTGAGGTAAGCGGTACAGTCCACAGATTCCTCGCCACGTTCAGGCTGAATTTGTTTCATTTTTCCCTGCCGTAGCTACATTTACACCGGTTCTGTGGAAGATCTCCAGCTGGAAAATGCTGTGCAGACGTTGTTCATTGCTGACAAATACGACCTGCCGTGGCTGGCGGAGCTCTGCAGCGACTTTATTCTGGACGACGTGGGAACGCGCAACTGCTTGCTGTATTTGGAAAATGTTTGTGTATTCGTACCCAGATAATTAGTTTAGCTTATACGAGTATGTGCTTCTGTGAAATATTATATACGTAATACGTGTTAGTGATCTGCTAATTCTATAATATCAGACACGTTTAGAGTGTGGGTGGGGGAGGCGCATGACCTCGCAGCTCTTCGACAGCCGCATAAAACTATACTGTAATGCACAAACTGCATAGTTAAAAGATGTGAAAGACGATGTATGAGATTATGCGAAAGAGCAGTAACTGCGTGAAGCAGATATCAGGGACGAAAATAAAATCTGGAGTGTATTGCCCAGGATGCATTCAAGAGTGTTGGAAGGCATATTGACAAGCTGGGATGCATTCAGGATATCACCAGCAGCGCAAGGAAAAAGTCAAAGGGCAAAAATGCGTTTTACAACTTCACTAATGTACAACAGTGTAGTCTGTATAGGCATAACAGCAAAATCAGTACCAGCCAATTCTCTCCAATTTTCAGTAAACTAAAAACTAAATTTCATGAAATTTTCTCCTTCCCCCACATCCCCCCTCCGGGTCCATTTTCTTGCGCCGGCTCCTGGCACACCATTTCCCCGTTGTCTCCCTTCGGAAGATGGAATACTAGCCAAGGGCGCGCCTGTTCCGTTTCCATAGACGTATATAATTATGTGATGATGCGGGACTTTACAGGCACTACGTTGGTCACCAAATTGCGATCGGGTGGTGGAGGCATGCTTGGACGTGATAGATGAATCCATCGAGGCTGTCTTCCAGTCCAGTTACTTCACCAAGTTGGAGCGAAAGACGCTGGAGAGGATTCTGCAGCGCAGCACGTTGTCGGCGGGAGAGAACGTTGTCTACGTGGCTGTTGAAAAGTGGGTAACACTACTGCGGGCAGCTCTCGCGAAACCTCATGATGGATGCATGTAGCGGCATTTAGGTTCATAGCTGCTGGGTTTGACCTGTGGCGCCTTAAAATATTTTTTGTTGTAGATGGGCAGCGGCGGCTTGCGCTCGCAAAAAGCTGCCTCCTTCGCCCAGTAATCGCCGCCGGATGTTGGGTGGTGCACTGTTTCTCGTGCGTTTTGCCTTGCTGAATGAGGCGCAACTTGCCAACGGGCCCGTTCAGGTAAGAATTCGTAACAGGTTATAACGGTGTTGAAGATTGTCGGTTTATTATAATACGCTTGCTCAGCTTTGCCTTATAAAAATGATAAATTTTATACACTGAAAACACATTAAAACCGTTAGTCGCGTTGTTGAGTGCTCTTGTACTCGTTCGCGTTTCGTTTGCAGAGTGGTTTACTGAAAGACAAAGAAGTTGCGCGACTACTGCTCTGCAAACATAAAACCGGTCAGGGACCATTAGAGTTTTCTACGGAACCCCGGAAACGCGTAATGTGTCGTATCACCTCAAAATACGTGTATAAAATGACGGAGAAGATCTTCATCCAGTACGACAACGGCTACTGGTATCCGGCTGCGGTCACGGGAGACGACAAGTTGAATTTGTACCGCGAGAATAAACTGGAGAGAGAGGAGGAGAGAGGCGGTATCCATCGGCGTAGGAAGACTGTGCGGGCTGCGGATATTCTGAAGCGTGGCCTGGCTGTGGAAGCATACATTGACGGAGGTTACAAAAAGGCGACGTACGGCGCATTGCGGGCTGGCCGACATACGGTCGACATCGCTGACCGCGAATACAACGTGGAGTTTGTGCAGCTGAAAATTGCGCGCCGGCATGTTGAGGAATGGAAAGCCGCTCGAAAATAGTGACACTCCGAATAGTTTTAAGGTTTTTATTGTTCCTGTCGCACTCCATTTGCCGAATTCTATTTACCGAGGTTGTTTTTTTCTGGCTTTTCGAAAGAATTTGTTAGAACTCTTAAGGAATGATCTATGGCGTTTAATTTGCGTATAACACCCACCCATTATCGTTGTGTTACAGGCTTACATTAAATTCTTGTTGTTTTGGCCCAAATTTGTGTGCGCCTAAAATGTATCCTGAAGTAGTTTTCTGTGCAGTGATGCAGACAGATTTTGTTGAGTTGCCCATTTGTCCGATTTCGGTAATAGAATATCAGTGTTGGTGCCTGAGTGACTAAAATTAAAGGTAAATCATAAATCTAACTGCCAACAACTTATACCGGTAATTACTGCGTACATCAGTACATGGATTAGTGTCGTTAATCTTTGAGCAGACAAACTCTCGAGGCACTCCGAGGCAGGTCAGCCGTCAGGAGCATTTGAGCAACATCAAAACCAAATTTATCAAAAAAACTGCAGTACAAGTACAATCTGACGAAAACACAGGCGTAATTAATTCTAAGTAAAGAAAGGTACAGTACTGTATTATTATTGCGTGATGTTTACGCAAACAATTACGCACTCCCTCATGCTACCAGTAATACTCAACGCTGGGAGTTGCCAAATAGGCAAATACATAAGCGCAAACAAAATTAATGATGTCATATGATGGTGACAATTCACTGGCAATTGCGACATCGCGAAAAAATTTGTAACATGTTTTCAGTTAATGAGCAGTTGTACTGTACTTACCTCGCGCGATAAGTTAATAAGGCGTATATCAGATCAGCATCTTCCCACGGGCCGGCAACTACTTTCCGTTTCCTGTCAGCAGCCACCCGGCAGGACAGGCAATTAGGCATCGCCACCGCTGTCGCGAGTTTTCCGTTTTCTGCAACCTCGGCTTTTCGCTGAATCGCTTCTTTGTTTCAAACTTCTGCTGCGATTCTGATTGTTTATTTTTGATGTTTTACATGTTTGGGTTATTTTTAACGGTTTTTTCCAGTACAGTTTGTATTTTCGCCAGAATCTGAGGCAGCAGCAAGAGCGGTGGTATGTCTGATCATCGTCACTTTACTCTAGCCTAAAATCTGACTGCAACGGATTCTTAGTGCGTTTTTCTGGTTGGGCCAGGTTGGCTGGCCTTCTGCACTTTCCAACTTGGGTTCATCGTGAAGCGTACCACAATGACCCAGCCGTCCGCGTCATTCGTCAGCTCTGAACGTCGGGGCGCCATTGCCCAGATTACCAATCGCTATCAGAATGCTTTAGCGAGTAGTGATTTGACGGATGTGGAGTTCGCCGTTGGCCGCCAGTGTGGCGAAGTGAAGAAGATCCGAGCCCACAGGTCTGAACGGTGTAATAATGTTTCGTTCGCCTGTCAAAGCTACTAGCGCTATTCAGTATTTCTCAGTGACCAATAACAATAAGTGTTTCTTATAGGTTAATTCTGAGCCTTGGCAGTGATGTTTTCCACACAATGTTCAACGGGAGCTTGGCCGAGCGTGGTGACGCGGCCATTGACATTCCGGACATTCCTCCCGATGCGTTCACCAACATGCTAAAGTAACAAGTGCCAGATTCGCAAGCCTTCGTGGTTTCATTCGGTTTCCTTTTTTCCAGCTACATTTATACGGGTTCGGTGGACGATATCAAGCAAGGCAACGCACTGCAGACAGTGTACTGCGCCGAAAAATACGATCTGCCGTGGCTATCCGAACTCTGCACCGACTTTGTCCTCGACCAAGTGAAACCCGACAACTGCTTGATGTACCTAGAAAATGTCCGTAGAGTAATGCAGCTCACTGTCCAGATATCGTGAAAACTCTATGGTACAGTGTCTAATTTCCGTTTTGGCAGGCACTACGCTGGACTCCGAATTGTGATCACGTGCTGGATAAGTGTTGGGATGTGGTGGATGCGTCCACCGAAGCTGTTTTGGAGTCAGGGCACTTCACCAAAATCAACCAGACACAGTTGGAGATGCTGCTGCGCCGGGGCACACTGTCAGCTAAAGAGAATGCAGTGTATTTGGCTGTGGAACGGTAGGTGATCTTCAGGTCAATCGGTTTTGTCGGCAGTTAATGCTGGACAAAGAATATAGTGTTGTTGACTTAAACTCGGTTTCGCAAAGTGTAATATGTGTTCCTTTAGATGGGCTACGGCAGCGTGCGATCGCAAGAATGTAGACCACAAGTCCAGTAATCGCCGACGAATGCTGGGACCGACATTGTCCTTTGTCCGCTTTCCGCTGATGACGGACGCTCAACTTGTCGACGGGCCCATTCAGGTTAGGATGATCTTGTTTACTGTGCTCACAATCTGACATCGCTTCCTTCGTGTCGACTAACGGCTTCCCTGGTGTGCAGAGTGGTTTACTGAACGATGAAGAAGTGCGGAAACTGTATACCTTCAAACATTCAGCCAAGAGTTTCTCGGCTTCCTGGTTGCTGGGATTTTCTGTGGAGCCCCGGAAGAACGTGATGCATCCCATCGGGTCGCGCTCATACAAACAGGGAGAGAAGATATTCATTTCATATACGAATGGTTTCTGGCATCCCGTGAAAGTCAAGGGGGAGCAGACGCTGGAGTGTCTTTCGAACTATGCAGTAGAGAAGGTGAAGGAAAAAAACGAGTTCGCCGCTCCAACCCAAACCGTCCGTGCAGCGGATATTCTGAAGCGTGGTCGGCCAGTGTATGCGTACATAGGCGAAGTGTACAAAGAGGCCACGTATGGCTCGCAGCGGGCTGGTCGACATACCGTCAGCGTCGCCGGCCGCGAATGCAGTGTGCAGTTTAAGGAGCTGAGGATTGCCGATAAGCACGTGGAGGAATGGAAAGCGGCCCAAGAGTAATGTTGTGAGCGGGTATGGCGATGTACAGGCGTACGTTGGAATTCTTCGGTTGCGATCAGCTTACAGGTTTCTATGCTCCTTACGAAAGTCTTGCGTAAATGGATAATGATCTAAATGAATAGCATTTAAGGGCAATAATGTCGTTGATTTGGTTACTGACTTCCAAGAGGCATTGTTTGATAATATGACGTGATGCAGGTCACTTCATTGCTTCAGTTTGTAATGACTGGCCTATTTTGTTGTTTCCCTTTGTAAATCTGTTATCTGCAAATTCTTCACTTTTGCATAACTGCTTATGTACGATTAGAAAACTTGTTAAGTGTCATTGAATTTGTTTTGATTCGTGCAGTTTTGATTGAATTGGTTTTCATTTGTATTTAATAAAATTTTGACTGATAGTTGATGTCCAGTTCGATGCATACGCCGCCATACGGTGTAAACCAGATAACCATATACGCATTTCGACTGCTGTATAATTATACAGTATGTCTAAACAAAGGGAAAACTTAAGACGTCGACCATGTCGTTACGTCGTAATACAGAAAAAATTCGATCTTTACTGCGATTTCGTCCTATTCGTATTAATTATTAAACTCGGTTGGGCTTCTACATCAGCAAAAGTGGACACTGGACAGGCCGCTTCCTTATATAATTTTTAAAAAAACAAATTAAACCACAGATCTCATCTTATGCAGCTGTTTATTTATACTTCTAATAATTCAAGTCTCCCCGGCTAACTAAAATCTGGTACATAAGATGCATTTACGACGGTAATCGCAGTGCTACATCAATCCGCTCAGTTGCAGTTGTAACAACCGTACTGAAATACAGGACATTTTATTTCGAATTAATTGGCCGAGTTACTTAATCAAATGGGAAAAAACGGTTTGTATTCATTTGGGCTGCTGAAACAACAAAACTATCGCTTTACTGCAGCCACGGCGGTGATTTTATAGCACAGCACATTGATCATGGTAATTGACTCGGTTATCTATCGCAAAATCCGGTCGGTTGTTTGGGCGCGTGCGGGAATTTGTCGATATGTCGTTAGGTGTTTTAGGTGCGTTTGGTCACCCGCGCAGCAGTTTTTCAGGTCGACAGAGACGTGGCCCCCTGGTTGTGGTAAACTGAGTTTGTTGATCGGGTTGGAGACAAAGGTCACCCGTGGTAAAGTAGCAGCTGCGATCGGCTGTTTTGGGAGCGTTGGCGCTCGCCGAGTCCCGTTGCGGTCATTTGGCCTGCCGACGAGTACACCGGAGGACAGAAAGCTGATCAAACGCTTTCTTTATGGGAGGGATGGTGTAGGCAGTACGAAGAAGGGTGAATTTCTTTTGAGTTAGTGAATAACTTCCATGGTACCTCGGTTTATTTTTTGCATACAAATTCGTGTTTTTGTTTGAAGGGTTTTTAGAAAAAAGTAGACAACTTGTCTGCGTTGTCGGCGGGATTGAAGCGCAGTATGCCTTCAATCAGTACGAAATACTACTACGAATACGTGTATTTAGTGCTTTTCAGAGTACTTCACTCAGTTTACTGCGCATTGCTGCAATTACCGTATCGGTACAAATTCCGTGTACCGATACGGTAATTTAATGATCTACTCTCCAGGAGGTAGAGTAGATCATTAAATTGTTACCGAAATTCTACGGTCGCGAAAACCATTTTGGGTCAGTTGACCTCAGCGGTATACGGCGCAGCGTTATATCCCCGTGTTGTAGCTTGTGTGCTGATTTTGCTGGACAACTGCTTTGCTGCAATCGCAAGTTAAGCAATCATCGAACCCTGGTGACCGCGGAATCATGACCCAGGCGCCCATGATCACACCAACTGCCAGCGCGAAAAGTCGAGGCGCTTTCTCCCAAGTTACCGATCGCTGGCAGAATGCTTTAGCGGATGGTCACTTAACGGATGTGGAATTTGCAGTCGGGCGACAGCGTGGCGCAGTAAGATGATTCGAGCACATAGGCATGATTTAACAACGTTTTTTAGCGGGTGGCAACAAATTGGTGCTCTTGTTTCCGCTAGGTTAACCAGCATCAGCAGTGACGCATTCACCACCAGGCTTTCCAGGATTGCGGCCGAGCAAGACAGTCCACCCATCCAGATCCCGGGCATTCCTCCCGACGCCTTCACCCATATGCTCAGGTAAACGTCCAGTTAGACATTTGTTTGACAGCAGTCACAGCATGTTCTTATACTATGAGTTTATCGCATTCCGGTCGTTTTTGCAATATTAATTGACCTATCGGGCAATACAGACAGCATCCGCTGTGTTGTTCCACATTGGAAAACTTGATGATATGTTTTATTAATCTCGTGTACAAGCTGATATAAAGACACTATCATAACGTTAATCAGTTTTTGAAAGTGCTTTGTGAAATAACGCGGAGAACATGGCGTACGGCACGTAAAATTATATTGTTATTTGTTAACATGTCCGGAATGCGAAGAACGTCGAAAGGTCCGTTGTAACTTGTAACGTCCACGGTTATGCCGGACTACCTAACGTTGGGGCAGATTCTGCAGGCTCCATAATTTCTACACGCGTATCTATGGTAAAGTAAAAAGTCTATGGTAAATGTATTGGTTTTCACTATCCAGTTAGGGGGTCGGTAGAGGGTCTGACCGAGGACAATGTTCTGCCCACTCTGTACTGCGCCGACAAGTACGAGTTACCGTAGTTGGCAGAGCTCTGCATGGACTTTGTCGTGGATCTGTTAAAGCCGGAAAACTGCTGGATGCATCTTGAAGATTTTAGTGATTATTCGGCAATACACCGGTGTGCGCAATTGCGCACTACGTTACAGTGTTATACAGTGTTACTCGTACGTCTTGATAGGCGCTGCACTGGACGAAGGACTGCGACGTTGTGCAGAAGAAGTGGTGGGACATTGTGGATGCATCCAGCGAGGCTGTTCTCCAGTCGGACTATTTCAGTCAGATAGAGTGGACAACACTCGATATGGTTCTGTAGCGTTGCACACTATCGGCGGAGGAAATAGCGTCTACAAGGCTGCGGAGAAGTATAGGAGACTCAACAGTTGGAAACCTAATTAGGAAAACGATGCCACACTGGCGAAATATTTTGCGTGCTAACATACATCCTTTGGATTCGTTTTTTTCCAGACCGTTTGAAATATCAAACTGTGGTAGTCACAGTTCTTGATCGTAGGTGGGCGCTGGCAGCGTGTGATCGCCAAAATCTGGAGCCGACGCCCTGCAATCGCCGTAGGATGCTGGGTCCGGCGTTGTTCCTAGTATGCTTTCTGCGGATGACGGATGCTCAACTGGTCAGCGGACCCGTTAAGGTTGAAATCCAGTACTGTTTTAACCTCTGTTTATTAGTGGATCCTGACGATTAACCGCTTCACTCTGCATTTGCAGAGCGATTTGCTGAACGATAAGGAAATGCGTCAACTGTACATCTACAAACATTCAGCCAGCGATGACGCGCTAGAATTTTGTGCCGAGCCCCGAAAGCGCGTGATGCGTCGTATTGGGTCACAGTGGTACAAGCAGAACGAGAATGTATTCATCTTATATGCCAACGGCTACTGGTATCCAGTCAGAGTCAGTGGAGCTGCAACCGAGTTTAGCATGGAGACGGTACAGGACAGAGGTGCCCTGGTGGTTCCCAGCCAGACCGTCTCGGGCTGCGGGTATCCTGAAGCGCAGTCGCCCAGTGTACGCGTACATTGACGGAGAGTATAGGGAGGCCACATACGGCGCACAACGAGCGGGAGTGCATACGAATGATACGATCAACGTCGCCAGACGAGACTGCAGTGTGCAGTTTAAGGAGCTGAAGATTGCCGGGAAACACGTGGAGGAATGGAAAGTGGCTGGAAAGTAGTGTCATGCGTGAAATCTTCGTGGGAAGTCCTTTGGTTGTGACATAGGGCCTGTCATAGGCTAACAGGATTCTGTCTCCTATGTGGCCAGTTTTTTGGTTGTTTTTTAATTGTTCTGGATCGATTAAAAACAGTGTGAATACTTTGACATTCTTGACGAATTGAACACTTCTCTGCAGGTAATTGCGTCGAGTAAGCACAACATCACATTAGCCAATGCGCGCTTGAGTCTCAACCGCGCAATGGAATCTATCCCGGATGTAGCCAAAAACAAGCTTGTTAAAACTGTTAACTAGTGTTAAATAGCCGCGCTCACGTTGTGGAATGTTCGGTTCGTTGGGACTTGGGACATATACTATATAACAAATGTGTACGGCTCGTGGAGAATGTCGAAGTACTGATTTTCTGAATTTGGACGCTCCTTTTTTTGGCTGGAAGTCTGGCCGAACGCAGTGGGTGTGAAAGTTGTATTTATAGAGAACAAATAAAACCTTATCGCGAACGGACATTCGAAGTCCTGCTAAAATCATGACGATACGCTGGCTCTCATGCTGAAAAATTTCAGCATCGCAATCGCGCATGCAAATTTGTTAACTTTTGATAAGTACCAACGGCAACCACTAAACAATTAGTACCTAAATAAAATAGTTCACCGATTTCTTTGATTGGGTCACCCGGAAGTAAGTGACGGCCTCGCCGAAGTAATAAGCCTCGTTAGTCGCTACCACCCCGGGCAAACAGCTGGGTCTCTTTCTTGCGCTTCCGCCAGCAGGCGGTAGGCAGCGTTATTCCTGTTTTTCTTGGGTTTTCACTACGAACTCTCGCTGTGCTAACTGTTAAATATACTGATGTTTTCTCCAGTCTGTTTGTTTTGTTAATCCTTACAATTCTGTCTTCAGCACTAGATTTTACATTTTCTACCCTGAAATCTGTAGCAACCATAAATGTGTGAGAGTTTCTCATCAATTAATATGCTTGTCTGCGCCTAGCCTCTGTCAAGTGTCAAGTGACAGGTCCAGGCTGCAAACTCCAAAGTTATCCTGCGCCAGTTTAGCGATTTGCGCAGTTTTGGCGTAAGCTTTCCCAATGGCGCAATCACCCGCATCGTTTGTCAGTTCCGAACGTCGAGGCGTCCAGATTGCCAATCGCTGGAAGAATGCTCTAGCGTCGAGAGAGTTGACAGACGTGGAGTTTGCCGTGGGACGCCAGTGTGGCGGAGCGAAGACGATCCGAGCGCACAGGCATGTTTTGACAACTTTGTATCCTCTTAAGACAAAACTATCCTGCATTATTGGCTCAAAGAGCAATCAAGGGTATGGTTGGTGTAGGTTAATCCTGAGCATGAGCAGCGATGTTTTTCATACCATGTTCAACGGGAGTTTAACCGAACGGGTTGGCGCTGCCATCGACATCCCGGACATTCCTCCCAACGCTTTCGACAACATGCTCTGGTAAAAGTGTAGAACCGTTGACGTTGCACAATCAGGACGTTGTTCGCATTCCGGACATTTTCACATTATGAATTCGCGACCAGAGGCACGGCATTCTCCGCGTAGTTTTTCATGGCGAAAGCTGTTTTAAAAATTGATTGTGTGATAATTACGAGTAGTGTTTTTATACAAGCTTGTACACTTGACTGACAAGAGATTATCAAGCTGTAAAAAGTGGAACGACGCCGAGAATACCTTGCCTCTAGGTTCTAGTGTCCGATACGCGGATCCATGTGTAAGTGTCCGAAATGCGATAAACGGCGAAACATCGCAATGATTGTCTTTTGTTAATTATTTAGTTATATATACACGGGTTCGGTGGACGATTTGAAGCCAGAGAACGTGCTGCAGACATTGTACTGCGCCGATAAGTACGATCTACCGTGGCTTGCGGAGCTCTCCACGGACTTCGTTCTCGACCAACTGAAACCCGACAACTGCTTGATGTACCTGGCAAATGTTAGTATAGAATATTACTGCCCAAACTGTGCTGCTATATTTATACGTACTATCTGTATGGTGACACTTTCTGCGACTTGGCAGGCACTACGCTGGACGCCGGATTGTGATCCTGTGCTGGAAAAATGTTGGGGCGTGGTGGATGAATCCACGGTGGCCGTTCTCCAGTCGGACTATTTCGTGCAGTTGGACCGGGCCCAGTTGGAGTTGTTGCTGCGGCGTGATGCACTGTCAGCCGAAGAGCATGCAGTGTACACGGCGGTAGAAAAGTGAGTGACTGCTTTTTGTTATTATGTAAGTTCGAGGGTTAATGCTCAACATCTGCAAATACAAAAAAGCTCTCCTTTTCGAGATCTGCAGACAAACAGTGGACTTCATAGAGATTTTACACCCACAGTCGATAGCGCTATGAATACAAGTGGATGTTCTGTAACATCATTTTAAATCCAGTGTAATTATAAAGCTGCTTACTACACAGTTCAGCACAGTTACAGCTTCTAATGTAAAGAAAGACACAAGCTCCGTTCATGGTTCACCCAAAGAAATCGCATTCAGTCAGTCATATATCAAGTGTAGGCAACCCGGTTAACGGGACTTTAATGTCTGGCCGGTAAAAATGGCAGCTAGCCTTAACAAGAGATTATTCAAACAGATAAATCGTTTTCAGAGCAAACTTTAAAAAATCAACAACACTAATAATTTCTTGACAGAAATGCAGTTTACGGTGAAAAATTCACTGCCGACATTTCGTAGAATTATTCACGTTGTGATGTTCTAGATGGGCAACCGCAGCGTGCGACAGGAAGAACTTAGCCTCAACACCGTCGAATCGTCGTCGAATGTTAGGGACCGCATTGTTCCGTGTCCGCTTCCCGTTGATGACGGATGCTCAGCTCTTTTGCGGACCAGCTAAGGTTAGAATATGGTCTTTCCTGAAAGTTAGCGTTCTGCAGGAACACTGGAGTGACGCAATAACCGATGCTGCGGCTTACGCTGTTCGCTGGTTTCTTTGCAGACCGGGCTACTCAATCCCAAAGAAGTGTGCCAGATTGGCCAGCACAAACACGATCCTGCTGCGCCGTTGATGGAGTTTTCCTCGAGACCACGAGCCCATATCGTCTGTCGGACGAGCGGAGGTGCAACGTTCAAGAAGGGAGAGAAGATCTTCTTCCCGGCTTCCAGCGGCTATTGGTATCCTGCCATTATGACCAATGATTATAAAGTGTTTTGCGATTTGTTTAAATCGGAGAATGCCAAAAAGGAAGAAAAGGATAAAGAAGCGGTCGTACTACAAGTTCTGCGCATTCGGGCGGTGGAATATTCTGAAACGTGGTCTGCCCGTGTTGGTCTACATGGACGGAACCTTTAAGGAAGCGACGTACGGAGCACACCGTGCTGATAGATACACAGAAGAAATAGCAATGGATTGTGGTCACAACAAAATTAATAAATAATATTATTTATTCTGTATTTACTTTAGTTATTTGTTTATTTACTTGTTTATTTTATAATTTGCAATATTATATTTATACTCGAGTACTCGAGTGACCCGAGCGGGACAAAGGTAGGAGCAGCAGGGTGGAGCAACAGGGTGGAACAACAGGATGGAACAACAAGGTGGAACAGCAGGGATTAGAACACAGTATTATAATGCTAGGTTTACTGTTTTCGTTTATTTGCTTATCATTTGAAATATTGTATTTGTACCCGAGCACCCGAGTGACCCGAGCGGGACAAAGGTAGGAGCAGCAGGGTGGAACAATAGTGTGGAACAGCAGGGTGGAACATCAGAGCAAACACATAGGGTTGAAAAGGATGGAGACAGACGACAGAGAAATGTGTTATAGGTGATCGAAGGTCTTTTCAAATTATGTTTGTTTAAGTATTTGGAACAAAATATTGTTACCCGGATGACTCGAGCTGATCGGCTGTCAGGCAGCCTCCCTCCCATTATTTCCCCTTTCTTTGATTAATTTTCCCCTCCCTTCATTTCCCCTTTCTTTGATTTATTTTTCCCCCTCCCTTTTCCCCTTTCCTAGAAATATCTGTCAACATAATCGAATGTTTTTTATTCATTTTTTATTTTGCTTTTCTATTTTTATTTTTTTGTTGCTTTTTCATTGATTTCTTCTTTTTTTCATTTTTAAAGTTAACAAATGTTTACACAAAAATTAATTTACTTCTTTGTTTTCAAGGTGTCATATTTTTTGTTGTCAGGTCAAAGCTTTTCAGTTTTAAAATCAGCTTTATGTATTTTTTGGTTGTCTTAAATATTTTACTTTTCTTTTTTTCCTTTGAAATCTGACTGAACAAATCAACAATAAATCAGCACATAAAAATTAGAATTTTTTGAAACAGCATAGTTCTGCATACCGGACACTGTATTAATCTATCGGAACAAGTGTGACAGCACACCAGATGATTACATGGTCGAAAAAGAACTTGAACTTCTTTATCCAAACAGACTTTGCACCGCACTTTTTCCATGGGGTCATTATCAGTTTTTCTAGCCGCGTATGCTAGCGCGGCTTTTTCACAAACTTTTGCCGATTCCATTGCCTGCCTGTTCTGGACTTCATAAACAAAATGTTCTCCCTTTTGTGCAATAACGAACGGGCACATCGGCGATGCTCTAGCATGCTCTTCCCATGCACCATCCTCAGTGACCCATCTCTCAAGCTCTCGACCACAGTGAAAGCATTGTACAAGGTCACTGGTGCCCGTGTAAAAGAATCCTGCCTGGGCCATGACTCGAGGATGTTGAGCTTTGGATTCCGGCCATTCGGAAAAAGTAGAGAACCGAGCTTTGTATTCCATCATTGTGGGAAAGCGCACTTGGTAGTGGTGAAACCCAGGGATAGGGACTGATGTTGTTGCGTACACCTCCACTACATCTTCACCGGAATCCTCTGCGGAAATGGGTTGTGGCAACCTCTTTGACATTGGACAGTTGGGAAAGAGCTGCTGGTGGTTTCGTCTTGGACTCCGAACTCGACTCCATCCGCTCATAACCCCGTCGCAAAACGCGCATTGCACTTCATCCCCGTTTCCTCGGTAAAACAGGCCGGATAACGCTAGATACGTAGGAGGAAGGAACGTACAGTCCCAGTTGGAATCTCTGAATGTCGCCAAGCGATTAAGCACGTTACGCATATCCATTTTACTGCAGTAACGAAATGATTGAAAACTTCCAATTCTGATGAAAACCGAGCGCCGCGGCTCTTTTATTAACTGCAAGGTTGGAACTGTGTTTCGAGACTCCGCCCATTCCTCACTCTCGAGTAAAGGGTGTAGAGAGAACCAGGCGGAGCTTAACAAATTTATTTTCGACCAATGGTAGCAAAACAGCTTCAAGCTTTGCAGAGCGAATAGAAACGCAGTTTTAAGAAAAAAGGCGGAGTTGGAAGGGACTTTTCTACCAATCATGGCACCACATATTTCGGATAGAGTCGGATCGGGCAGTATAAAACGCTGGCGAAAAGTGGTTGCAAAGTCAGTTGCCTTTCATTATTCCTCCGACCTAAGTATTACTAGCATTTGCGTACATTGGAAGAAATGGACTTTACACGCCCTCTGGAGATTTTGGGGGAGCTGAACGGATACACCATCTACAAGGTCAACAATGTTGTAAGTATGTTCTGGAGCACCAAAAAGGTCAGCCTTGTTCTAGCTTTTGACCAAGAAACGGACGGACATAAGGATCATGCGGAAGCATTCCGAAAAGGTGTGCGCTCGGGGTGCAACGAAATTTCGGATGTCCTGAATAAGCTAAAAGGAGGAGCCATCCAAGATGCCGTTGACAAATCAATCACAAGCAAATCGGCGGAAAAGGTTACCCTTGCTGGACCGGCTTGTTTGGACCTGTATCTCAGTATCCATCCTAAATATGGTCGGATGATTCGCTTCTCTCAACCTGGTCGCTCGTTGCAGATCCCGTACAGAGGATTTCTGGATGTTGTTGGTATAGCGCGAGACAGTTTTTGGGGTCCTGAAGGCGAAGTCATGGATGATTAAAATGTACTATTAGAATTGGTAGCTTTGTGTGTACCTGTTTTTTCTGCAAGGTTGTAATGTTTTGGTGATTTAGGTAATATTTGTTGTCTTTTTACTCACATGTTTCTTAACAGTTTCAAACGGAAATTGTTGGAAAAAAAAGAGGCTAAAGCCTTTATTTGTGGCAGACTGGGTAAGAAAGGTATATAAAGAGTTCATGCTCATTCTGCCACAATTAAAGAGCGCGGCCATGGAAATCCACAACATTATCCTGTCCGTCAAGTTTGATAAAACAATTGACCTGGATGCCTTAACTCCTGTGTTTGGAACTTTTGCAAGCAGAATGAAAAATTTTAATGCTGTTAACCTGCGTTTGCAGGGACGGTCGTTCTGTCAGCTATTTGCAAATGGTAGGGCCATAATAAACGGCGGTAAGTCTGTGGAAGAAGCTGAGAATTTATTAAGTTTCTATAAACTCATGTTGCGTTTACACGATTTTGATTTAGAGATTAAGGTATGTACTGTAGCAAATATTGTCAGTACATATCGTTACAACGCTTCCGTTAATCTTGTTGCATTTTATAGCAAAAGTAAAACTTTCAAAGAAAGAAGCAAAGTTTTTTACGAGCCCGCTATTTCCTGCAGTTCAATTAAGGTTAAAGTATCTGAACGCAACAGTCAATGTGTTCCATACTGGAAATTGCGTCCTATTGGGCTGTACTTCCGTGGCGCAGTTGACGGCAGTATACAAAACAATAGAAAATCTTCTACAATTATTAACGTAGAATTGCAGAGTTTGCACCGCTTCAGGAATTCGGCACTGGAAAATCTTGGAGATTTTTGTCGTGTGCTGTACGGGTATTACCATAGGTAAAACGTAGAAAAGGGAGACGTTTTCATAATGCAGAAACTGACTTTTGATTTTCGCTTTAAAACTCCATGTTCTATCTACGTTTCTGGACCAACTATGTCCGGCAAATCGACTTTCACTCTAGAACTTATAAGAAGCGTTTCGCAACACTTTGTTCCAGTTCCTATGCGGATCGTGTACGCATACGGCACATGGCAAGAGGTTTTCTTGACATTCGATAATTCTATAGAACTTATACAAGGAATGGACAAAATTTTAAATGATGAAGATTTTTTTCAAAGAAATGTGGCAACACTTCTGATTTTAGACGATCTTATGGAAGAAATCGCTGTAACACCCAAAGCGTCGACATTGTTTACGCGTGATGTACATCATAAAAATGTGTAACGCGAGTTAAGAAAAGAAAACTTCTGCAGCAAAAAGGCGGGTTTCTGGGAGTGCTTTTGCCGGTTTTAGGGACCCTATTGACCACCTTTTTAACAAAATGAAGACGTATGTGCTAGTACCGGAATCAGAATTCACTAATACTCAAATGAACAAAAGTCTAGCATCTCCATGGAAAAAAGCTCAGACCATTAGCAATGATATGACTTAACAATTAATGGCACGAGCTGCCCTGGAAAATCAGCGACCAGTAACACGAATACCGGCCGTGGAAACTATAGAGAATAATGCTGTTCCGCAAGATCTTGTGCAGAAACCATTAACAGCATCTAAATTTACCGGAGCGAAACCACTTACACAAGATGCGTACTTTCAAGCCGGTCCTTCTTACGACAGTCGCGGTGTGCAAGCTGTACGTACTACCACGGACCAGCAAGTCCAAGCTAGTATGCCACCCCAGATTGAATATATTCATAGCGAACCGCAGGTGCAGTATGTTACTGTTCCGGCTGATCCTGTCGTGCATTATGTACCCACCCCTGTTCAAAGCGACCCAGTTGTTCAATATGTACCCACACCGTCACGGACTCTGGTAAAGCATGTGTATAAATCAGCCAACAGCCGCGTAATAAGAAAGAAAAAGGTTGGAACAAGGAAAGCGGCAACCGCTCGATCCAATTTACCTGTAATTGAATATGCGCCCACCCCACCGAGTTTAACACAAGAGACTCCCCAGGAACCACCAATTATCGAGTTTCCACCTGACGGGATTTTGGAGTACGAAACAATCGACACACCTGCACTTTCACAAAGTACAAAAACAAAAACCCTCGCTTTTAATCCAGAAAAAACTTCGTTACAACGTAAAAATGCAGCACTGCCATACGCATCTCCACAGTTGGCCGTTACAGGACCTTCGCAATCTTCTAACAAAATTGCAGTACGTCGAAGCGTTCGTAAGCAAACTGCTTTGCCCCAATCAATCCCGCGATTGGCTATTGAAGGGTCTGCGCTACCAACCGTGTTGCCGATTCAAGGGGTAGTCAAAAAAGCAATAACGTACAAACCATCGCAGGAAGATGTAGCTGCAGTAACAGACGAAACACAAGAACCTTCCGCAT